TGTGATTAATACGCATGTGCGGATTTTCATTTTTCACTGAAAAAACAACAAAATTCAATGGATTAACTGCTATACTTATAGACGTTTAATGATCATTCTAACACTAACGCCCGGTTTCTGAAAGGCTTGTCAATGCTAAAATTAACTAATCTCTTGTTAAACCTCTTGTCAAGTCATCTGATTGGTTGACACCCAGTTTCTGAAAGGCTTGTCAATTCATTGATCAACTAACACTGCGATTAAATTGACATGACTGTCAAATCAATTTGAGTTTCTGAAACGTTGATCAGAGCATAATTAACTAATCTATGATTATTTTGATTTGACATGCGATTTATTTTTAGTCATAGCCACACTGCTCTTTCTTGTTCAATAGTTCATTCTTATCTGTCAAATATGTTAATATTTAAAAAGTTACGGACTGTCATTGATGTCAAACAATTCTGCGAAATTCAAATATTAAAGTTACAATTTCAATAAAATGCTAATTAAACTTGCTTAAAATAGCATAACGAGGGAAGAATTTCATCGAAAGGGAAAAACATGTTCTTTTAGAACCAGTTCAGAAGTAAGTATAAGTATAGACATAATTTTTTTACCTATTGCGTTTTATAAACCTATTGTTGTTTAAAAGTATAAAATATCTTTGTTTATAATTCACATCCTGCGCTGCAGCCAAGACTGATGTATAATACGCACCATGTTTTATTACAGATACAAGCTCATTATTGATAATCAGTGCACAAATGCTATTTCTACTATTAATAAAAATGAAGCTCGGGAAACCATAACGAATTAATTCAACAGTAATGCAGAAGTGCCTCGAAACCAAAAACAGCTAATCACAACCTATTGGGATTAAAAAGAACTACGAGACAGAATGTAGCTAATAAAAATGTAAGTTTTTGATCTTAAAATACTTTTTAGTGCCCACACTAGCTAGTCAGAATATTGTAACCGTTACCAGATTATGATTTATTAAATACCTGTCCTGATTTCTTAACTAAGTACCTAATAATGTATTAAGAATAATTATTGCAACTTTAATGAAATTTATTTACAGGTAATTTAACTTGCACATCAAGGAAACAATTTAAACATGAGAGGCAGACACTAAAAAACAAAATAATAAGAAGTATAATGAAATAAAGATGGAGTATGTAAATAAAAAAACAAGTTATTAGAAGATCGGTTAACTATAAAACAGCATATATTTCGAAATAAAATAAGTTATTTGGTTAAGAAAAAGTTATTAGAAGATCGGTTAACTATAAAACAGCATATATTTCGAAATAAAATAAGTTATTTGGTTAAGAAATATACATTATTAGTATTTAATTTAAATATTGGTAGGTTACTATACTAACTAAATATTTATATATGTAAGTAAGATAATATACTTGTTTTTATATTTCAAGTGTTATATTATATTTTTTATAAAGATTAATAATTAAATATATTAATAATATGGTTATTTCTTTGTATTCACCTAAAATACAAACCATTAATATTACTTAACAATTAAAATGAGTCAACAACAAAGATGTGAGCACAGAAGTGTTTTCATTTATCACTGAAAGGGCACCAATATCTTCTTGAACTATCCTTTTTTTTCTGAGGGGAAAATCATCAAATGACTTCTCCTGCCCAGGGTCGGGCGGGAGGGAGTTATTGACTAAAAACCCTCTTCCTTCTTCTGCTCTGGGCCGAGGTCGCGGCACCTCATTGCGCTTACCCCGCAACCCCGGCTGAACATCAGCCCTATGGGGCCCCGTCTGTGGTGGTCTATGGGCTCTTTGAGGCACGCGCGGAACACTACGCGCCGTACGCTCGGGTCTGGTTCTGGTCGGGTGGCGAGCTTCCCTTACTCGCCGTCCGCAGACCCGCGCTTACGGTGGCCGGAGATCATCTCTCGATCCCCGACGCCCGGAATGTCGCCTTCTGCGGCGGCTGGGGCGCGAGGAGGATAGTTCACTCGCGCGCTCCGCCTCCTCCTTTGCGAGCATAACTGCTTCGCAGGAGGAGGAGATAACTTCCCAGTTCTCTTTAGACACTGAATAATGAATTCTTCTTTAGACACTGGACTCGTTCCAGACGACTGGAAGACCGCCATTGTTGTGCCCATATACAAGAAAGGTGATAAATTGTCTCCTGTCAATTATAGACCAATAAGTTTAACAAGTGTGATATGCAAATGTATGGAGAAAATTATAGCCGATAAACTAAGGCAATTTTTATCACAAGAGCAAGTAATTCTGGATGAACAGCATGGTTTTGTTCCAAAGCGGTCAGTAACAACCAACCTCCTCAGGTGTATCAATGATTGGGTAAGGAATCACGATGCAGGCCATCCCACAGACGTAATTTACCTTGACTATGAAAAGGCTTTTGATCGTGTACCCTTACGACGACTTCTGCATAAGCTTGAACACCTCGGAATACGGGGAAAGATACTAAACTGGATTAGCAACTTCTTATCCAATAGAACATTTTGCGTACGAATCGGGGATGTAAAATCAAAAGCTCACCCTGTATTAAGCGGTGTACCTCAAGGATCGGTTCTCGGGCCTCTGATTTTTATACTGTATTTGACCGACTTAAAGAAAACGCTCCAGCTACCATTTTCACTCTTTGCTGATGACACCAAGTTCTTTGGAGACCCCAGCAAACAATACCAGACTATTCAAAGTGACTTGGACGCCATCCTCAATTGGACCAACAATTGGTTATTGACTTTAAATGCAACAAAGTGTACTGTCCTACATATCGGCAACAAAAATCCTCGCAAAACTTACTATCTGGGAATGCAGCAGTTGACACCGGTAAACGCACACAGAGATCTGGGCATTACCATCAGCGGCGACTTAAAATGGGAAACACATATTACCAGTATCGTTAAGAAGGCAAATTCAATGTTGTACCTCATCAGAAAATCATTTATGTGTCTCACACCAAAAACCTTTTTGAAACTTTATAAAACCTACATAAGGCCGTTGGTAGAGTACGCCTATGTGATATGGGATCCCTACTTTAAGAAAGACATTACACTCTTAGAAATGTGACCAACGTCTGCACGAACTTGGCCTCACCACTCTTGAAAAGCGGAGACAGAGAGGAAACCTTATTGAGACTTACAAAATAATGAGTGACTGCTACAACGTTCCTGGACTTAAGAATATGTATCTTCTTAATAAAAATCGAAATTTGAGAGGACACTCATTAAAACTATGCAGAACATCCTCAAAACTGAATCCCTTGACACACTTCCTACCTAATAGGGTGGTCACGGAATGGAATAAACTCCCAGAAAATGTGATAAAAGCACCCACAGTTAATTCTTTTAAAAACAGACTCGACAAAATCTCCAAATCCATTAATACGCACGCATCAGCTTTCTAAGCTGCTAGTGTGTTCAAGTATAAAAAAAAAAAAAAAAAAAAAAAAAAAAAAAAAAAAAAAAAAAAGTTCCTCTCTCTATGAACCATGGTCTCGATTAAGGCCGGGCGCGAGAGGTCGCCGCCGCCGATCACTTCCCTGAGGTCACGGCGGTGTTCAGCCCAGGCAGGGCATACCGCCACCGAATGCTCCACCGTATCTTCTAGGTGGTCCTCACAATGACTACACTCGGGCATTTCCTTACGCTGGATCCGAAACAGGAACCTACCGAAGCTGCCGTGCCCGGTAAGCACCTGCGTCAGGCGGAAGGTGAGGACGCCGTGGCGTTTCTCGAGCCACTCTTCAAAGAGAGATCTTACCGCTGCTATTATAGCGTGCCCAGCCCTCGTTCTTGAAGTATCCTAAGATATACTTGATAAATATCCTTTTCTGTTCCTCTACAGCTCAGCTCGCCCACCAGTAGACTGTATCTTGACATGTGTGCAGTCAAATGCCCCGATCACATTTGGAAAAGAGCTAATTTTGTAGAATTCTGTTTTAATCCTTGTGCAATCTTCATGTTTACAGGGCATAGTAATCGCTGCAGATTCTTTTGTTATTATTCTACAAGCCGTAGATTTGTGCGCTCTCAGCAACCGTAATTTGAAATGCTCGTGTAGCATGGTAATAGCTTATTGTCAGTAGCACCTATTCCAAAGCACTGATAGAATGGTTCCTCAAAGTGAACTGTTTAATATTCGGTTCTAATATGTTAACTAGTAATAGCACAAACGCCTTTGTCCGTTGGTTGGTACCGATTCTTAAATTCCCCTTCATTGTAGAAATCAAAAGGATTCATTCTGGTCTTAAATCTTTATCGCTGCTGGATGTGCTGATACTCATATTGCTACTATCCGAAAGAGACATTATCGTAATCTAAAACCAGAATCAATGTAAGTTAATCAAGATATCAAATAATTTACACTTACAAAGAAAATGATATTATTACAAATATAATTTCGTAACAAATATTTCTGTTTAACATACTTTAAAAAAAATATACTTATATGAAGAGAAAATGTAGTCTCACGTGAAAAATCAGTTGTATTCGTAAGTTAATTCGCCAACAAGCACCGATTAGTTGACCGAGCCTTTGACAGACGAATAATCTATGATCAAGGCTTGACCAGCGTTTCAGAAACCCAAAATTGCGATAATCATTCGATTCTTGAGTTGATTTGACAGCCATGTCAACTGACATGTTGGTCAAATTAGTTGATTAATCATGCTTTATGCAACCCAATTGACACTTGACAAGAGATTTAACAGGAGATTAGTTAATTTTAGCGTTGACAAGCCTTTCAGAAACCGCATGTTAAACTCATTTATTTAATTATTTTGTATTAAAAACATTAATTTTTGAGATTGAATTTGTAAGTAGCTGTAGTAGAGACTAAAGGTACTTTTGAAAAGCAAAATAACCATTCTGAAATCAAACACATCGATGCAAACATAATCTAGAATCTAGTATAAAATAGAAGCCGCTTAAAAAATAAGATTTTTATCGACTAAAGCAGGATAAAGACTTCTGCATGAATGAGGAGGCAACATGGTCTTAAATTGGGATGAGTCGACCTAACTATAATACCACGGTCTCACAGAAAACTGGCGTGAAACAACCACAGCAGTTACTGGGTGAGTGATCCATAAATATCCGAAACCTTAATCCCCAAAAGGCCGGCAACGCACCCGTAACTTCTTTGGATTTATGGGTGTCCAATTGCCCATTGGCGGCGCCGATTGCTTACCATCAGGTAATCCGCCTGCTCATTTTCGACCTAACATACAAAAAACAAGAAATCCTTGGTTGCCCAACTCCGTCTCCTTTACGCTTCTAATATCGGTAACCCATTTGTAACTCAACTGGTATTGAGGTGGAGCTAATCATTTACCTACCCTTATGGGACAGAGACAGAAAAACCAGCAAAAATATCTGGTTTCTCACAACATAACACGGTTTTGCATACAATTACAATTTGATGCTAAATGCCCCTCAAAAAGAGACTACCTATTTAAAAAGGCTGAAAATGTCTTACCGACAATCCTCACGAATTGCTTAGTGGGACGATCTAGGATTGGCCATGTTGGTCTTCCGTGGACAAAGTGGGTAGTAGACGGTATTCGCCTTTGGAGTTCCTATATTTTGAAAACACCAGAAAACAAATATTTAATTTAAACGAAATCTTGTCTTCTATTCTACACCAGAAATCTTATATCTAATCTAAGTGTGGAAGAGCCATGCTTCAGTGCTAATGGATCGCCTCAATCCGAGTGATACCACGTCCCCGCAGAAAACTGAAACAACCACACCGTTTTGTTTCGACGTGTGAGGGCTGGGGGGACTCTAATCCCTAAAACGCCAACACTCGTAAATCCTATTGTGTTTAGGTTGTCCATGGGCGGCGACCATTGCAACGACGATTAACATCGTGAAATCCGTAAGCTCGTTTGCGTGTCCTACACATAAAAATAAAATATGAGTGTACTAGCGGCCCGCCCCCGCTTCGCACGGGTCCAACTATCTCGCTATCAAAGGGTCACTTTTTCCTAATCTTCCCCTCTACGTTTCTAATATTTTCTTTGATAAGAATCTTCTCCTGACAATAAGAAACACAACAAAAAAAAGAATTAGCAAAATTAGTCCAGGCGGAGTTATGCGCTTACCAACACATTTTGCGATCCATTTTTATATACATATAAGAAGATGTGGCGTGGACTTCTTTTGGCAAAACAATTTTACCTACACATCTCTCGCAGGCACACCGACACGCTTTGACTCCTGCTAAAAATAGTAAATATATAAAAATAGAATTACTTGGACCCAAATATTCTTCCGAATGATTTTAGGTTCCTGTCGATCGGAGCGAGCTGACTTAGGGTTATAGTCTGGTGGGTGGTACAGCATGTCATAGGCGCAGAGAGGAGCGGCTGTGGGCTTCCAGTTCGTGTTGAAGTAGGTCTTCTCAGAAGTCGGGATTATCATACCAGTTCTTAATCTATCCGGAAGCTTTAGTGACGTGGTCAGCGTCTTCTCATCAATGTCTTTCTCCTCCTTCATTTTGTCACAGGTTAGCTTCCACTTTTATCAAAATGTCCAATAACAAGGCTTCAACTTCTAATAAATCAGTGTTGGTTGTTGGATGGTAATTATCAGTTGAGATGGTCATTTAACTTATTGTTATGAAGAGTATAAACAAATAAAAAATTTACAGGATTACAAATTTTGTAAATAAATCCACATGATGATAACGTTTCAATTATAAAAATAGATAATGTTTGACATCCAGATTTGTCTTTGATTATTTTTAGATTACGATCTTTTTTTTGAATACTTTTTGGTCATTTAAAAACATATTACTCATATACATTTATGCCAACAAAAAAAGAGAACAACTGTTGTCAAAGTTGTGACAATCTATGATCAGTGTCAAAATTTTACTCCCGAAAAATGTGGCTTCGTAGTGATAATATTTGTATTTAATATTATTTAATGTAGCCTCGAAATTCATTATGGACTGTTACAGCGCTGAGTCTGAATTTATTGGTCTGATTTAATTTTTGTTTTGAGTAAAAATTGTTAGTTTTATTTTGTTCTGTGATTTTATTTGCATATTTTTTTATTTGTAGAATCACTGGACTTTTTGAGTCCGCCAGTGAAACGGCTTCATACTAGCAGAGAGTTTGGTAGTGTGTATAACACTGAAGCAAACGACGTGCATTTGTTGCGAGGGCTTCGCAACAAGTTTGCTCAGCGGGCATCCAGCTCGACGAAGAATATTAAACCTATTAAAAAAAGCTCTGACTCCTCTACTTCACTGATACTGAAGAAAACATCCGAAAGACAGGTCAGTCAGTTCAGATCATTAAAGCTTTTATAATTTTCATTCTTGATTAAGAGGGAAACTTACGTTTTTATTATTTTCCTACAGATTTTGGAACAGTACTCAATCGTTAGTTACACAAGCCTACAGCAACCGGAAAATGATACACCTTCCGTATTAAAAACGGAAAGAAGTCCGAACCCGGTTGAAAAACCTTTAATAAAAGTTACAGTCATACCTAAAACGGACCAGATTCAAACAGCGAAATTACTTCGGAGACGGAGATACGTGCCAAAAAGAGTTCAGAGCACCACATCGAACCACGAGAACTCGATCCAGACCAAGAACGTGTACTTAATAGTAGCAGGTCGAAGAAGAGAGAAAATATACGAGATCAAGACGACGGGCAGTGCAAAGCTGTCAACGGACCACGATAGTTACATAAAAGATGATGAGATCCCCATAAAAGAACTATCTAATTTCAAACATCTAATCCAGTCCTTGAATATGGATCGAAAGAAGAAGAAAGAGAAGAAAGAAAAGAAAGCACTGATGGACAAGATTGAGGCTCCTCCACAAGCTTCCGTCGAGTGGAGGTACCCGAGCTGCCAAGACTGTTTATGTGGCGACGAATCAAACGAATCACCGAAAAAAAGTCGAGTCAAGATTTTTGGGCAGTTCGGCATATCTGAAGATGACAAATACGTGCTCAGATACGGAGCTACTATTAACGACAAACAAGGTAACATAGTTAATCAAATAAATGTATTATTTAATAATAAAGAGACCCATATGGAGTGTGGGCTCAACAATCATAATGCCGATAGTTGTGTCGGCCATTCGGTCAGTCTCCAAATCCTCCCTAAAACCCTTTTAACTTTGGTAACCTTTCTATGAAAATGATTTTATTGTTCTAGTTTTATCTGATGTCGCTCAGTTGACGCGGGACTTCTCACCAATTCTTGCAACAACTTCATATGGAACTACCGATGGACAATCCGCGTAAGTTTTACAAAAGTGTCACTGATCTTATAATTATTTCTATCTGACCCGTTTCTTGTTGCTTTATAATAAAGTTAAGTGCGAGAGAGCCATGCTCCGGCACGAAAGGGTGGTCTTATTTGCCCAAAATATCTCATAAAATCTTGTTAGAATTTGATATTATGACTTCTTTTCGATCCCCCAGGATGCAAAAAGACTCGTGCATACAAGCTGACTATGACGCGAGTTATGAAAACCCTCCCATCACAGAAGAAGTACCCAGGTAAAATATTATTACTAAGCTATAATTTTAGTTTTTGTCGAGTATTAATAAAATATGTCAAAATAGCTTTTAGTTACAGCAAAGAATCGCAAGGAACTCAAGTCAATTTAAATATGCAATGCAATGTAGCTATGAAGAAAGGGACAAGTTCGTCATTCTCCGATAAAAAAATCCAGTGCAGTTATAGCTTTGGGCCCACAAATAAGTCAGAACAGAATACTCTTAAGGATTGTCAAAGCCCCCTTGTCATAATATCAGTTTATCCAAAATCGAGCCCAGAAGATACTGTGCAATCAACCAATAGCCCTGATAGTATACGAAGTTCTTCACCGACGAGAGTGGCAACATACACGAGTAATCAAGTAACAAAGACTGAGAAGAGTACAAAAAGAGGAGCTCTTGAAGCGAAAAGAAGAAGTCCTGTAGCAAGTAGATCACCATCCCCTGCAAAAAAGATTAAAGAAGAATCCGTTAAGACACAAGTAAGTGAAAAAAGAAGTCCTGATAGGCGAAGAGCACTAAGAGCAATAAAAGAAAAGATACAGGAAAAGGAAAAATTATTAAAACAAGACCCTACTCCACGAAAGCCTGCGACAAAGTTAGCGAGTAATTCTACTCAGGTTGCCAAAAACCTTCAGAATTTGACTGTATCAAATGCAGCACAATCCTCCAAGAAAAATCCATTGCATGCTTTGTCTAATGCAACGCAAGTTTCGAATAAAAATAATCAAATGTACCAGATGTCAAATGGAACACAAGTCTCTGTGAGAAAGCGGCAAGCTTATACAGTGACCAATGCGACCCAGTACTCGGATGGAATACAAAGTATGGCTTCCAACGGTACGCAATTCGTAGATCATAACGTAATAGACAGTGTACCGGAAATGGCTCCAATAAAACACTCCAGGAACGTTATCGCTTCTCCTTCTGTAAGATACCCAAAAAGGTTATCACCGATAAGATATCCTCGAACAACCCAGGTGTCGAATGCTACCCAAGTACCTAAAAGCCCACAATTCTTTGCAAGTAATGGTACACAAGTGTCAGAAAACGACCCCTACATCGCATCTAAATCGAATGGGACGCAAGTGTCAAAATATGAATACAGTCCTTTTTCATCGCGACTATCCAGGAATCAGGATACTTATACTCTACCTAACGCATCTCAGGTTTATGAAGATAAGGGATACACAAGAATGACTACAAACAGATTAAATGAAACGGGAACTAATACAGAGCACTTTCGAAAGAAAAGAACACTAATAGAGGCGTATACCAAGCAATTGACTGATCAAATGAGCCAGAAGGATTCCATTCCCGCCAGGTATAATTCTACAGTTACAATAAATATAGACGGTGATGGAGAATACTACGATGTCTTGTTCAATCAAGATAAGCGGTCGACCGACTTGACAATCCGAAAGACATTCAAAGACATGGGTTCACAAAAATATGATGACCAAGATCAGGAATGTTCGGCTTCGTTAGAGAATTTTATGTATGTGCCCGAGATTATTGTCGAAAAGGAATCGAGCAAACCACAAGATGATTCACATTCGAAGTCATCGATTTATAATAATGTAAGTATCTGTAGAGCGGAATGCGGACTGCGCGATTATCATACCGGTATTCCTATTTTTCCACATGCCACATAAACAATGCACAAAGCTAATGTTTAATATAAATACAAAAATTTCACTACAGTCATCTTTAAAAATGACTCGATTGGATATGACAGTGACATAACCTAAAATATGGCTGCTTAAATGTATGTATCCAATACTTTTTCCTTTCAGCCTTCAGACGATGACTTTTCGTTAGACAATCACGTTTCAAGACTTACCATACGAGATAGTCTTGAGATTTCTCACAGGTAGATTTATTTTTTATTGTTTTTTTTTAAGTTTCTCGTGGTCTCTTGCACATTTTATTTCTATTGAACATTAGAATTTATAATACTGAATTTGATAATGTTAATCATGATTTTATAAATACTAGGCGCGGAGGTAAACATATGCACAATAGCAATAACTTGAAGAACACGCAAACTTGTTTCACGGCTCAAATTGCTACGACGGTTCCCAATGCAACGGAGTTTTTAGGTGAGACTGTGTTTTATTTCCCACAATTGTAGAGAAAACATTTATCGCCATATAAATTGTAGATAATAATCTCATCATTATCAATATCGTAGACAAAATAATCATCATCATAATTGTTATGATCAAAATCGTCTCTTAGGATATCCAGCTTCTGTATTTTATCAGCTCCATCTTCAGAAGATTAGACAGGTGAATGCATCGAGCCTTCTTCAATAAATGGACTATCCAAAACAAAAATATTTGCTCAATTCAAACCAGTAGTTTCGGAGATTAGCCCACAAACATTTTAGCTTTATTAGTATATAGACCTTTAAAAATTGACCTTTAAAATACTGGTGATATTACAGCTCCAATCAAGCATTTTATTGGCGACGACTGTTCTATTACTGACCCTGTGGAGAGAGATAAACAGATCAGACAACTTCTTGGTGTGGATAAATTAAAACAAAGTTTCACAGCACCCCAACAGGTAAACAATATGGTTGTGTATTATGTACGCTATATATTTTCCTACATGCTAGTTTCTCGGTTTCACCAAGAGCTCTATTTCCATATAATCGTCACAATCAGGCATCGGATTTTTTAACATCCAGGCAGTTTGAGAGTAGTTCGTGATAGTATTAAAATTATCGTTTTTGGAACTGAGCAATCCATACTAAGTAGTTACTATCGCTGTTTCACCAGAGTCTTAACAATTTTAGTTGTAGCGTGATACGTTTTACAGCCTTCATCATTATCCTCGACAAATGGACCAACCCAAAAATATTTAAAAAGATTTTCCCAATTCAAACCAGTAGTTTCGGAGATTAGTTCAAACCTAAAGTTTCTGAGCAGGTCCTCTTATTTTTACATATGGTAATCCGCAAAATTTTGTGAATAACTGTCTTTACATGTCAAAGAACCCCTAACAGCAGAGATTTTTTAATTTCATATTTTACAATTATTGCCAATTAATTTTTATTTTCTAATTTTCTTACGTTTTCTTTTTTAGCCGCGTTACTCAGAAAACAGCAGTCACATTCCATATCAGTGTATCTACCGGAAACAATGGTTTTGAATTTTATTTTTTTATATTTTACTTTGGTATGGTAAAAGCACCGGTAATGAATGTCTATTTCTGATGCTTGGAATGACGATACTACTTTAGTATTTTTGCAAAAACTACCCAAACGAGTTTTGTGATATGAATAACGTTAGAAAACTTATTATTTTTCTTCAATTTACTTTTGTGAGTGTCCACCACTCGGATTTTAAAACATTGTGCATCAGTAATGGACATTAGCTATTGTTTTATTATATTGGATATCTATCTACTGTGTATGTGTGTGTGCAGTTAATGGTATTCTTTTTCTACAACATTACTAGTATTCGTCCAATAGTAGCGCGAGATCTTTATTGGTGCTTTTACCGTAATACATCTTCTTCTAATACAACTTCGTTCTTTCTTTTAGCAAAAACAGTGAACTCACAGAAATTAATTTTGAGTTTCAAAAAGTGTGCCCTTGTTTTAAGTCACGTCATACAAAAAATAGAGCATCAGTTTCTGTCCAATGCCGTCAACCAATCAGTACCGAAAAACCTGTACCACATAGTTACTATTCAGTCATAGATACCTGTGAGAAATGTAGTGCGAGCCCTCGTCACATACCGTTACCCTGCGCTCCGAACAATGTAAGTGGTATCAGCTTAAAGACAGTACGACGACCGACTGAAGGCAGTTGTGGAAAAAAATCTGCTATCTATCAACAATTGATATTAAACCGAAATATTCAAGTGTTCCTTCAAGTTGATCAATTTTCTAAACAAAAACCTATAATCCTTTCACGAAAGCAATATGATAAAGTTAAGAAAACTATTCAAAAGACAATCTGTATTAAGAAGAGCAGTCACGAGAAACGAAGATGTATACCAGTGAAACGCGACAAAAACGAGTCTTATCTTGAAACACATGCGTCAAGTGAGATTATGTCCCTAAAAGCAAAATCCAAACATAGCAAACGCTCATCTTGCAAGCGTAATAAACCGTACACCAAACGCGCTGAGTGCACGGTGTACGGCAAACGCCAAAGACACGAAAGTCCCGTGTTATATCGCAGATACGAGGATCCCGTCTTGTCTAGTAAATACGACAGACCGGAAGTTGATGACAGATGCGAGAGACCTATGCTGTACGGCAAATATGAGAAATTTGGGGATTTTGAAATGTTTGACGAACCTGATGAACTTCAGTTGCCTCGTAAACTTGATAAACCAGTCGCGTCCGGCAAACGCGATAAATGTGATAAACGTGAAAAATCTAGCAAACATGAAAAATGTGGGAAACGGTCGAAGTGTGATAAACACGAGAAACGTGAGGCGTCTCGTAAACGATCGAAATGTGCGACATCTGAAAAACGCAAAAACCTTGTGGAAGCTGATTCACATGAGAAATGCCAAGACCCTCCGGTACATCGTAAGCGCGATAAATCGTCGTCTGGAAAACGCCATAGATCTCCGTCACCTGGAAAACGCCATAGATCTCCGTCACCTGGAAAACGCCATAGATCTCCGTCACCTGGAAAACGCCATAGATCTCCGTCGCCTGGGAAACGCGAAGGAAAGAAATGTAGATCATCTACAAAACGTGTTAAATCTGGAACATCTGTTAAACGTGACAAATCTAAAACATCTTCTAAATGTAAAAAATCGGGGACATCATCTAAATGTAAGAAATCGGGATCGACTAGCAGACTAGAGAAATCTGAGTCATGTCATAAACACGATAAACCTAAAAAGATTGTCGAACGTGTAAAATGCCAGAAAAGTGATGTGTCTATTGGTGCAGTAAGAACGAAAAGACCGATAGAAAAAGTAAAAGAGTGCCATAAGAAATCGGCAAAACAAGAAAAATTCGCACAAGTTGAAGCCAAATGTTCTGAAGTCAGTTGTAAAAAGTATAGGGAAGAAAGATTATGGCCACGTCCTTCGAAATGTAAAACAGCAAACAAGGATAATGAAGAGACAAAAACAGATTCATGTGATAAAAAGAGGAAGCAAAAAATTATAGAAAATGTTGAAGTTTTTAAACTTAATGATTATGATGAGAATTCTCTTAATGGTGCTGGTGATGATGATAGAAGACGCAATAAAAAACATGAGCACAAGGGGGTTTGGACTGTTGAACACACTTCTACACCAGTAGTACAACAACGGCATGCAGAATGTTTTACAAATATTGACGTTGGTACAGGTAGAGACGAGGTGAACAGTAGTACGTCAGAGCAAGTAGACGATCCCGATCGTCTAAGTGAGCAAAGATCACCTAGCGTATACGAATACAGTAATGACCTTCAACAAGAGAGCCTAGCTCATCGCGCTTGTATCGATTCTATGGATATTGAACACCAGGAGACAGAGATGAAGACTTTTGTTTTATTCAATGCTGAAAATACAGCTAACGCATATGATGATAATAAAGATACAGACTTTGATAGACGCACTAGAAAAACGGTGTCTTCCGTAGAGGTACGTTATGCCAGCGTTGCTTATATGAAGCAAGTGGCATATTCATCGACAGATGTTGGAGCTTTGTCCAATTCAAGTATGACTCATGTCAAATCATTTCATACGATATTTAGAGGTGAGTGTCAGAAGCAAATACGTAACTAAGTTGATACATCAATACGAGAACATATTTTTATAAGTTTGTTTTGTTTGAGCTTTACGACATTCCCTTCCAGCTGTTCCCGCGGCTCCCACATTACATAGACCTTAATCAAAAGTAAAAGGCCTTCTTGATAGCTCTTAAGAATATATTTTTGCTTCAGGACACAGAAAATCAGCTACACCCAACCTAGGAACATCAGCCTACTCCTTATATTCAGAAGAAGGGTATAATTCTGAAAATAAATCTGTTAAGTATATAACTGAGCCGCAGGATTCTAAGCCAAAGCGACCGTTTTTAAGAAGGTTAATGTCGTGTCTAGTCATGAGATCGGCCAGGGATTCAGAGTTGAAGTTACCGACACGGCCTGTACTCGAAGATCCGCCCAGCGTCAATAGTTCTATGGATTCGTATCACATCAGCACTTCACTAGGAGTTAGTATTTTTTTCTTGGTCATAGCACACAATCAACATTGAAAGCGATCGTCACCGTATCAATTCGATCCAATTAGTATTATTTGTATGAAACTCCCTACTGCAACACATTCAAATTACCTACACTAAACTTAACAACTTAAGTAATAGGTATACCTAACTTCTGCTAAGAATTGCGAAAGAAAATAAAACTTTTTATAATGAAGATCTTTTTGGATAGTTATACTGTTTATTGTGATCGCCGATAAAAACATATAAATGTTTGCTATCAGGCGTAGGTCGATCGAGGTGGAGGGTCGATCTAGTTCATGATACACTTCCTACACGATTTGTAAAGATAAAGTTAAAAAATTAAGTAGGTTGGTTTGTACGACTACAGACTATTCAAGGGTCATTGCACTCGCACAGTTGACCATTTTCTTGAAGAAATTAACTTCGTACGTGCATAAATAATGTAAGAGTTTTGAAACAAAGAATATTTTTTTTATTTCGTTTACAAATCTACAGTGTTTCATGTACTGGATCGCCTTTCATGGGATTAAAACGATGAAATTTTGCAGTATATTTATATGATTTATCTTTTTCAGGCTGTGGAAATAAGTTCGTCGATATATGACACAACAGCATCCTTCTACAGTAATCACACAATCCTACCATTGAACAATAAAATAAAAAAAGGTTTCTTCAGTTCAGTGAGAGGGTTCCTCACAAACCTAAAAAGTTGATGCTGTAATGTTTTGAGTATTTTTTTTTTTACTTCGTACATTTCATGTATGTCATGTATTCTTGACTGTGGTTGTACTCTGTTTTATGATGAAAAGTATATTTAAAGATTATAATTTGATTTTGTTTTATTTTTCTATTCTTCTATACTAATATTATCAAGAGGTAAAATTTGTAAGTTAGAATGTTTGTAAGTTTGTATGTAGGGGGTAATCAATGAAACCGCTAGTCGGATTGCTGTCGAACCCATTTTCACTCATAGATAGCTACAATGTTTCTGAGTGCTATAGGCTATAAAACATCACGCTGCGCACGCAAGTCGTTTCAATCAAGTTGCTTATGCAGCTAGCTAGGCACTATCAATACAACATTAGATAAATTTAATTTACCATGCAGTCTCAGCTACGACAAGTACCTACATGCTAGGCCACCAGAACAGAATATTTTAATGTTCGGAGACGCGGCTGAATGCCGTTAAAGCGGTTTAGACCGATTAAACTGTAAGTTTTTTAAACTATCACGTCATTACGCGACATTATACGACTGCCCACTATCAGATACAACATTTTTGCTTCTCAGTGGCTGGAAGTAGAACTATGATATAAATATAAATATATAAAATAAATTTATATATATATAACAGGTAAGCAGAAAAACTGCAGTTTCGTTTCGGAGAGCGTTTTCTATTATAATTCGAAATTTCCTACTTAATTGGAAATAACTTTTTCATAGCTAGCAACACAAAACCTAACCTTAAAATTTGACGTTTGTTTTGGGATCTTGCTCACCAAGTTATTATGTATTTATTTTATATATTTTGAAAGAAAATAATAACTTGAACGATAATTAACATATACAAAATGGCTTTAATAAGACGTTGTGTGCCCTTACTTACAAAAGTCGTTCGAATTCACCCCATTACAGTGCAAAGTAAGTCATTAAAAATATTATTTGATTACCATATACTTCTTACAGTAATTTTTACTACAATAACCTATTTAATCATCCGTTTTTTAGACCAAAAGATACACAGATGGGTTGCCCCAACATTGATGGAGCTGAAACGTCGTGAAAATAAAGTTGGCAAGAAAATAAACCCAAGGAACACGTATCTGGAGTGGAATTTAGAAGCAGAACTATACGGCTTTGCACGACGTTTGAATGAAGAATTTGATTCCGATTTATTATTACAAGCATTTACAGATAGATCTTATGTTATTAAAGAAGAGATGAAGCAAAAAGAGATGGATTTCGATATTAAAATGAAAGACAACAGAGAACTAGCTGAGAAAGGTATTTATATTCAAAATAAAAATAACATATTATTATTTGTTATATTATGAAACTGTAATATAAACTCTTTTGAAATAGCCTTCAATTAGGAAACCATATTGTAGAATATCAAATGAGAAAATCTGATCACCTGATGACAAGCAACAGCTTCCATGATACAAAGTTACACAGAATTTATATATATTCTATGAACCTAATTAAAATATTATTGGGACAGAAGCAATTATTGATGTAGCATTTGGCTTACCTATATGATGTCCAATGAAATATTATTTTATATATGTATACTTCATCAAGTTTATTAAGGTTTATCTTCAAGGCTAGAGTGAATAGGCTTTTAATAAACTAGTGCTCCTTACCATCAATGATTGCATCACTGCTTACCATCAGGTGGGATCGCAGTCAAGCACTAGTTTAAAGCAAGTAAAAAAAATATAAGAATTCTCTTTTCACCCTTTTGTCTGTATGAAGGTGATAATCTCAAAAAATACTAGATACATTTTAAAAAGTTTTTATCAAAGGGTCTGATTCCTGAAATGGGTTTAGGTAAATAATTTAATAATTTAGTTATTATAAATAATTATCTTTCTGCAGGAGATCAATTTATAAATGCCTACATCCAGAATTATTTGGAGACTGTGTTGCCAAAGTTCCCGATGGAAGGAGTAAAAGGTGTAAGGAGTTTCTTGGTCAGTGAGGACACTTTAGCAAATATATCCCTGAATTTGGGCACCAAAGATATCATTCTAGCTGCTGTAAGTATTTTTATATATAACTATATAATAATGACCTGATTGTTACTTAACAGTGTAGTTTCCAACTAGTCAAATTCAATACTTTTATTGAAATGTAAAAAAATATATTTTACAATTAATTATAATATAAATTAGTGGTCCATCCATGCCTTACATGGTGGTGTAAATCACTTGTTTCATTAGCGAACTGCTATGGCATGGCCTGTTATCAGATTTTCCCCTCTACTTTAAATCATATGACAGGAATATCTTCTTTCAAAAAAATAAAATAAATAAATAGGTACATATTGGAATTCATACATGATACCATGACTGAGTGAAATTGTGATGAATGTTTATATTTTGTAGATAGAGACTAAAATGTCATATAACTAGACTGGACTGTAAATTTAAGTTATAATTTGTCGTTGTCGTTGTAAAGTCATATCAATATAATTAAAATTGTTTCCAGGAATATCCAGTGGACAACTACATCCTAGCAACTAATTTCAAGGCAGTGGTTGGAGCTCTGCTTGAGTCATCTGGTGAGGAGAGGGCAGCACATTTTGTCAGAGATTTTGTCATCACTCAGTTAAATGGTATTTATTTTTTTAATTTTATGATGACATACTTTTAGTCTCTTCTTGGTGTACTTATTAGCTTTTACTTGATTCCCCCCATTTCATTACTGAACTACCTTACCTAGTTACCTAACTATCATATCTAGTCACCTAACTAGCCTATCTAGTTACCTAACAACCCTATCTAGTTACCTAACTACCCTACCTAGTTACCTAACCCTACCCTAGCTACGCCGTGCCCTACCTGCGCTGTGTTCCCTATAACCTAGCTACTCTTCCCTATCCCATGTTCTTCTTCTGGTTCTAAACTACAATACCCTTTCAATTCTCAACGAAATCAGTTCAGCCGTTCTTGAGTCTTTTATAAATTAAGACTCGGGGTTTTACATTGATCTATGATCGAAACGAACCGGCGCTCAGTAACTACGAAATCTACACTTTGGAATGAGCATTAGCACCTAGCTTCACTGAAGCAGACTGACAGTCTTATTCTGATTTTGATTTTTGACTGATAACTACGCATGCACTATTTGGTTCAGCAGTACTTAGCATTGAGTAAACAATTTATGTGTATGCAATTTTTTTCATTTTCCAGGTCAGGATGTGAATGAATACTTCCCGATAGAAGACCCATGGTCTATGCTGGTTGATATAATGAAAAGAGAAGGCGTTACTCTTGAGCCCAGGCTTATTGGTGAGGTGGGCCGGAACACCCTGTTGGCGTGCTACAGGGTCGGCCTCTATGTCGATAAGAAGATGGTTACTTCAGGTAAACAAAGTATTTAATAAAGGCACCGGGGGGTTGGTACAAACATCAACATCCCGAATAACGGACGTCGGCGATCCGTCTTCTATAACAGTCACAGCGCTCGCTCTCCACCATAATGGGCACGCAGAACTGTCAGTTTGACGTTCCGCCAGAGTACGATTCATTGTACCCTCGTCCGATGAATTGTGGCAAAACCTCCTTCAAAATTCACTTTAAATATTCGACGCGTCGTCGAATTTATTATTTATTCACATCACACAAACAGTTAACAGGAAAACAAATACATAAACAGACGTACATAAGCTCTGTGTTTTATGTGATAGGATGGCAAACAAGCAAGCATGGTAAGCAATCAGCGTCGCCCATGGACACCACAACAACGAAGAAGTTACAAGTAGTGTGTTGCCGACTTTTTGGGGATTAGGGATTTGGAGATTTTGAGATTGGGGGAAGGGAAGGATTAGGCTTTCGGTAACCTCACTCACACGGCGAAACCTCTGTGATTGTTTTCTGTGAGGCCATGGTGTATAAGTCGAGCCGACCCATTCGTGCCGAAGCATAGCTCTCCAACACTTAAAAATATATCGTCAAGGAAACAGAGCGCCTGTTGGAAATCATACTACCGATGTGCTGTAATCGGCCCATACGAAGTGTTAATAGAAGCGTCTGTGCAATGGATGCCTAATACTAATATGCATAGCAGTACCAGTTGGTACTTATCAATGCTAATGTTCCAGGTTTCGGCGAAACTGTTGCGATAGCTAAAGAAATGGCCGCGAGAGAAGCTCTGAAAAAGATATTCGGTACTGAGGACCATATGAAACCAATTGACTTCAAAATAGAAGGCATACCCAAGCCATCGTCCCAAACACGCTACCAGATATCAGCCAGTTGAATTAGAACTTTGTTTTAATGTAGAATTAGGATTAAAGTTGTATATTATTTATATTATTTTTATTTTTTGAGCTTGCATGCCACCTTTGAAATATTTTGTTTGAAAAAATTTAGGTATATAACAATTGAAGAGAATATACATCCCACACATACCATATTAAATGAATAATACATACAAATACACAAAATATAACAACGTTTATTAAATCCTACATTGTCCTTATAAAAGTTAACTTTACAAAACATTACAACTTAGATAAAAACTTTCCTAAATATAATTTAACACTGATGTTTAAAAGTAATCAATAATCTATAAACATGTACAAGTTTTATCACAATTAAAGTATTAAGAAATTACTTACACCAAAAGAAAGATATCGCTAAAAGTTTATACAATGACATCTTACCAAAAAAAAACAGTAAATAACAATCAAGGCACTTCATTGAAATGTCAACTTTAACACAAAGGCTATAATGGACAAAATTGTTTGAACATCAACCGGGGGCGGAGTCCATAATGAGGTTTCCATGTTTATCCTTGATGCGCACGCGTCCAGACGCGTAGCGCGTTTCAGACGTTCCGTCGCTATAAACTAACTTTACAGTACCATCGGGGAATTCGCGACGCTGAAAATTTAAGAAGAGACAAAGATTAGGCTTAGTGTAGGTAAAATAATTTTTTCTTAAAGAATGAACGGTTTTTTCTATTTCTGGGATGAATTAAGAACATAAGGTAGGTACTGCATTTCATGTACAGCAGATTCATTAGAGTGGTTTCGACGTTCAAAACTGTGCCTATAATAGTGCAATAAATTTTGACTTTTTGACTAGCTTTTTTAGGTTTCGGAAACGTAGGAGTTGACCCTGTATCACACAGGACAAGACACCACTACTCACCACTATCGATTCCAGCTGACATGCCCAGTAAAGAGTCAAAACCCAGCACTAATTACTTAGTAAATATTAATATCGCTGGAGAGAAAGCTTATTTAACTTACTAATATTATAAATGCGAATGTTACGTTTGGATGTGTGTTACTCAATCATGCCAAAACGGCTGGACGGGTCTGGATGACATTTGGCAGAGCCATAGAATACACTCCGGAATAGGATATAGGCTATTATTCATCAACATACCACGCGGGCGGAAGCTAGTAATAATATAAATACCTTATGATCCTTAGCATGTACTTCCACTTGTCCGTTGCTAAACACAATACGTTGTTCGCCACTTGCCGAGACGGTGAGAGCCGCGCCGTCCGGGAACCGCCACTCCTCTCTAACATGCTCGTTCTTCGGGTCAAAGTACCGGACGCTGCCGTTCGGTAACCGGATCTCGGATGACCCGTCTTTGTAACGTTTTTCCACTTGACCACTGGAAATCCAAACTAATATTATGATTGCGAAAGTAACTCTGTCTGTCTGTCTTTTCTTCATGCCTAAACTACTGAACCGATTTGTATGAAATGTGGTACAGACATAGTTTGGAACTCGAGAAACGACATATGATGGTTTATATACCAAAAATCTGCAAGAAGTCAGTATTTCACAGAATAATTGTGAAGTAGTTATTATACATTTTTTTCTAAGCAGGAAAGCACAATATTCGTGTATAAGGTACAACTTAAATATTTAAGTGTTAATAATATGTTCCCAATCCGGTAATTAAACTAGAAACCACAACATACAACTACTACTGCCTCAGAAGAGGCACAATACGGGTGATGTTCTGCCGGGATTTCGGGTCAAACGCAATTATGTACCACAGCTCTGATCTAAAGCAGAAGAAGGAATGGGGTTTTGGTTTTTAGTCAGTAAGGTAAGTCTGACACTCCCTCTTGCCTCACCCAGGGTGAGAGAAGTCATTTGATAATCCAAAATGTGTGTCCACATCTGTCATGTTTGAAAATACTGGTTACCTTAGTGACCTACATGGTTGTCATAAAATCTAATTTTGATTACTTTATTAAATTGGTAGAGGATAAAATACTTACTCAGGGAACTCCAAAACTTCCAATCCATCGGCGTGAGTAGTGTGGTAAGTTTTAGTCTCGGCATAGAAATATTTGATTCTACCCTCATTATAAAAATTCTCTTTCACATCTCCATTGTAGTACACAAACTTGCTGTATTTCCCATCAGCTGATATGTACTTGATATTGCCATTGGGGAACCTTAGTTCCTTAGAACCATCTGGTTTCCGCACTTCAGTGGGATTCAAACTTGTTTTTGACAAATTTGTTTTACTGATCGAAGGTTCCGGACTCAAGTTCATGAGTTTATCTCTATACTGCTCATTGTGTATCACTGTCACTGACTTCATAGAAGAATTGTTGTAGGAAGATCCTGGAGACTTTGATCTGTTCTGTGTTGTGTTAGATCCAGAACGACTTGATAAGTACTCCATAGAATTTCGTGATGGAGGCGACTTACTAGATTTATTACTAAGTATAGAAATAGGAGATTTGGCTCTATTAATTACTGTTTCATTTTTATTGAAACAAGGAGATATCGTTCTTCTAGGAGACTTTGAAGTTCTTGATGAACCAGAATTAGATTTTTGTATGAAGAAACTTTTAGCATTATCATTTAAGTTTGGTTTTTCATTTAAATTGAGTTCAAAGTTTAAACTTGAACCGCTGGATCTTGAGCTTTTAGGTGAACTTGACTTAAATCTTTCAATGTATATTTTTTCTAAGTTATTACTGTCGTTATCCCTGTCATCCTCATCAAGAGATTCATTTGAAATTGTATCATTATCTCTTTCTTCAGTCTCGTCATCAGAATAATCTATTCTTTCCACATTAGGCAGTTTATTTTGTTCTATTTGGCTCAGTGTATCCCTTTGGCTAAAGTATTTTGCATATCTAGATGTGACATTCAAGTTGGGAACACTTTTTGCCCTAGGCCTAATTACGCTTTTACCAACTGGTTCAACTCTCCTGCTTCTACTTTGTCTTTCGATCTCATAGGCCTTATACTTTATGTCGCGATCTTCGCTTACTTCTGATCTGTTGTCCTTATTTGTCATGTCAGTCAACTTCTTGTTTATTTCTTCTAGATATTTTATATTTGTCAGTCTTCGTGTCACCTCGTTACTGTGTTGGATTCGCTTGTTCTGCTTCTTAAGTTTCTCTACTTCTTCCTGCAAATCTTTCTTCTCTTTCTCCATTATTTTGATTTGGTTTCGCAGTCTAGCTATTGTCGAAGTTGATTTCGCGTTTTTTACGCGTATCTCCTCTTTAAGGTCATTAATTTCTTTCTTCAAATTGACGACTTCGTCTTTGTCTTTCTTATTCAGCCTGCCTCTCATTTCTCTCACATATCTCTCGTAAATTTGCTTCTGTTTATTTAGTTTCTCTTTCTCTTCTGCTAGATAATATTCTGATAGGACTTTCTCTTCATTGAATTTTTGCTCAAATGCTGCTTTTTCTTCGTAAAACTTTTGCCTGTCGTGGTCGATTTCTTCGCGTAATTTTGCCAAATTAGCATTTTCCTTTTTGAAAGTGGCTATTTCGTCTTCCAGTTCACAAAGTCTATCTTTTAGCAATTCGCTAGTGGATATCAGTTTGGCATTCATTTCTGCCATGTTTGCTTTCATAACATCAGTTTCTGTCATTGTGTCATCATGACATTCTTTAGATTCATCCTCTTTTTCATTAATTTTAGCTGCTTTACTCTTTGGTTGAATTATTTTTACATTTTTGTTTTGTTCAACACACAGAGACTTGTTGGCAGAATAAGTACTTTGATCAACATTTTTACAGGAACAACATGATGAGCATGCTTCACTGCAGTCAGTGCAATTACTGTAACAAGACTCTGCATCACTATGAGAATTCTCATTTCTAATTCTACCTTTCAATCCTGGTAAAATATTTATAAGTTTAGGATTTTGTGCTAAACACTTTTGAAGCATTAAAGGGGTGCTTTCAGTGGAACTTTCCAAGTTACTTCTTAGGAACCTATCAAAGAATGAGTTTTCTAAACTGAAGCTATCATGTGTAACTTTATTTTCTAGCAGTTCAAACATTTTCTGTTCAGCAGTTTCTCTATCATATCTTAATTTTGTCATTGTTTCGTCACAGCTAGCATCTGATATCACACTCTTGGAAGGTGAAACAAAATTTTTGTAATAGTCACTCTGTTTTAATTGGCTGAGGAAGTCATTTTGTTCTTGTGTTAGCACTGCAGCCCAAGACTTGCCTTTGTTAGCTATTAAAGGGTGTTTGTTCTTCGGGAATTCTGCTCTTGGTAATGGTTTATTTAATGGAAGATTACGATTGATTGGAGTGCGTGGTTCCACAGATGTTGGTTTATTTTCTGCTATTTTTGAGGTTGCTTCGGGTTCATTATTTGTGTCTGAGATTCTGGGTTTAGTTTGATTTTTTCTTACTAACTTAGCTTGTTGTATGTCAGTTACTAATAGAGAAGGTTCAGATGTAGCCACTGCATCATCTTTCTCAAGCTTTTTCATTCCACTTTGAACATTATCTGATTTTTTATTTTGTACATTAGTTGTCTCTGTTAAAGCATTGTTATTCTTTTCTTTAAGTTTCTTAAGATTTAATTTCAATGGAGATTCAGTTTTATTTTGAAAGCTCTTTCTTTTCCAAGGAAGAGATTTAGTATTCTGTATAACAAAATCATTTTTTCTAAGACCAAAGCGAGCTATGCCTTCGCCTCGTCTCAAAAAAGGTCTCTTATTATTGGTGTTTACACTATTGTCCTTATTTGGGCTTTTGGATTTGGGTGCAGTTTTTTCACTCTGCAGTTTTTCTACGAGTAAAGCTTCAAAATCTTTTTTAGGGGACAAAATGGGCATTTCATCCAGTGATATTTGTTTTTTTACATGTGGATTCTTGTTCAGAGAAGAATTCACAGAAGTTTTATTACTTGTATTTTGGGATGGCTCTGAAGGTATTTCTCCTACATTTCTTGAAGGGGCAGATGCTCTACTTCTACCAGATAGAGGGGAGTTCACAATAAACTCGGACTCTTGAGAAAGGTTTAAAACTGACACACCATCAATTAAGTCTCTTTCTTGGACTTTAGGCGAAACTTCATTACCGTTAACACGAGGTGTACCCTCATTCGAAATATCATTACTAGACTCCAGCAAACTGCGAAATGTGTTATAGCTTGTTGTATTACTAAAATGGCTTACAATTTCAGTGATACTTGATGAACTTTCAGAAGTTTCTTTGTATTCTAATCGTTGTTTTTGTAGCTTCCCGCGCTGCAATAACTGAAGTTGTCTTAACACTTGTAAACGTTCCAATATCTGTGAGGGAGAAAGCGAAACATCACTCTCCGAGTATGTTTCATCCATGGTTATATTTTCGTAAAGCACTGGTAGAATTAATTACACTATTTTGCAATAATTTTACGAAAACACACATAGCATCACAAACTCGCTCGACAAAGTTTTTGAAATTTGACAACTGTGACATACTAAGTGTTTTATTCTACCAACATAATAAAGAAAAATGTGACCAGCAGAAAAAGTATTCATATCCGGCTTTATTGATCCTATTCACAGGACGCTTACATCTTATTCAGATCATTTTCAAAACAATACTTATCTTCTCATTAGACAATGAGAAGATAATTAGATTGTTCACTACGATTAATTTATTTTAATAAAAAATCAAAAGAGGAAAATATAGAAAGGATGTTCATAAACCTACCATTTTTGGTAGTTTTTTGATGAGGTAGTAACACCAGCACATGCGCGAATAAATGTCAAAATTCTTGTCCATTTTTATTCAAAAAACATCTGGTTATCTGGACACAAAACACATAATACTTGCGATGTCTAAGAGAAGTAGTTTCCACAAAACTCCTAAATTTAAGCCCGAAGTGAAAGTGATTAATAATAAATCCAAACCAACTGTAAACATGTCTTCGCGAACGGAGAAAGTTGAAGTGTTACCTGAACCTATTAAGTCTGATGCTGATAAAAAGCTATACAAGTGAGTCGCATAAATAAATTAATCAAAAACAAATATCAACTCGTTTTGTTAATATAGAACTATTAAACAAATATTAACTATAGTTGTAAAAAAATAACCAATTAAAATTATTTGTGTACATTGCTGCAGAACAATTCGGCTGGAGAATGGCTTAACAGCGCTTCTGATATCAGACCCGAGCCGTCCATCTGGAGATAATGAGACCAGCTCCAGTGAGGAGGAGACCAGTGGCTCTGATGAGACCACAGACCCTGAAAGTGAGAGTGGAAAGTCTGGGGTATCTACTGGCAGTGACCATCATGGAATGAAGAGGCGCGGCGAATATGACGAAGAAAAACTGGTCAGTGCATTTTTTTAATAAATCCTTATTTATAAAAATTTAAAAAGCAACTGTCTACATTTTAAAATTTCTCAAAAAAAAACATTCATTCATAAATCAAATTTAAGAATGCACAGGCTTATGTAAGAAAAAACAAGTTGGTAATGGTGTTACATGAATCCGTTTGACAAAATAATTTGAGTGGGTTACATAGCCGGTTCACTATTATTATGCAACATAAACAGCATTCTTTGTTCACATAGTGTATTTACGCAAAAAAACTTAACAATTAGGTCCATGGAATGAATTAAAGACACAATTTGTTTTGATTGATATCAGAAATTGCATAAGTTCATATTCAGAAACAAAAACGAAACTACTTTTCACTGTTTTATTGCATTTAATGTTTAGACAAGTAATTTATTTAATATAGGTAAACAAATATTTTTAAACAGACATTTATGTAAACAGGAGTAAAACTTAATTGATTCAAATAAGAATCTTATTAGTTAAAATACTTATTTTTTATTTGATTCTAAATTTAAATATTGAATAATAAATAAACTCTTTGGTTTATAATACTACTAGTATAGATATAAATCTTTTGTATTTTTTTCACATTAAAGGCAATAAGACACTGCCTATTAGGATAAAAAGAGTCCTATGTACTCTTTTCATTAATGGTGAACATTTGGCTATTATGAAATCTACATTAGTCAAAAAAGCTTACAATATGATTGCTTATCCAGAAAATTATATAAAATTTATAAAAATATTGTTATCCCATTGAATTGGTTTATTTATTTAGATTTTCATTGATCAATAATATGATTAGCTTTAGTTAAAATAGTTAAGTTAGTCATTTTTCTATAAAAAATAATAAGCATAATGGTATTTTTAATGAATTCCAACTATTCTCTAACTATTTTAACTAAAGAAAGACTATTTTAGCTGTTATTGATAATAATTACTAAGATTATTACCTAATACCAACATGAAAATGAGCAAAATAATGCATACTGATAACAATACCTACTATACTATATAAGGCTGGCATAATACCATCTCAAAAAACCAAAAATTTAAAAAAAGGCCATTCTCAGTGACATTGTTTACTTAATTCAGTGCTTAGTATTTTTTTATCATTCAAGTTTACAAATAAACTATAATTTATTTATAGGCTTGACCTTGACTAGTGGCCATTGATTCCAAGCTTGCATCACATTACATGCAACCTTGATTCAGATCAATTGTTTGCATAATGTATGTCCTTTGTATTGTCTATGCTTTTGTGAAAAGCTAGAAAGTTTAACAGAATATGACATTGGCTCATTTATTCGTTTTTTTTTATGGAATATTGAGTTTCAAATATCTGCATAAGGCCATTTTTTCGTTGTTTCACCCCATTTTAATTAACCATATCCTAAAAAGAACAGCTTTGGTAATGGGTATTTATTATCCATCTAAAGAAAACACTTTCTTCTTCTTTTTGATAAACATTATAAAAACTATTCTTGTTTGTACTCCTTTTTTTTCATGGTGGATTTGTCTAACCCTCTTGTATCGTCCATACGATGGCTGGTATTTAGAAATAATGTTACTGAAATTTATTTTTGGCCAGTAAGCTACCTGCATAATCAAAGTCGAGCATTAAGTTATAGGAGGATTTTTACCGCGCCATCATACTTTGAAACGAACATATAGGTACCTATTCAGTCGAATATTTATAAATATACTTACTTGTCGAAAGATTCTTCAGTGAAGCAATGAACTCATTCCAGAATGTAGTTTCTTAAAGAACAAAACAAGCAAGTCATTACTCACCATTATCGATCGCCATCGCCAGGAAATATCGTCATATTCCTTCCGTAATGTTTTCCAGAAACACTTTATCCCACTTGGGATAAGTGTCATTACAAAAGTATAAGGAAAAAGATCGTAAGTAGATAGTAAGTGCTATTTGTTGCCTGTGACTTCTCATGAATTCTCGCAATGAAAATTATAGCCCATATACTATTCCTCACTGTAACTTGGAATCTTTTGGTGAACCCAATTTTATTAAAATACTTGCACTAGTTAGTATTTGCGTATCAACATACAATACTCAATAGGTACAGAAAGGCAGGCCATTATTATTTTATTTTGGTTTCTGTCATAAGATACATGTATATATTGCCAAGTACTTGTACTTATACCGACATTTTGAAATATCTTTATCGTATCTCCTTTTTTTTTTGAATATCTGAAACTAACATTCGCTAACAGCTTCGCCCGCGGTTCCAGAATAAAAGTGTAACATATGTGCTATTTTAGAGTTTAACCTATAGCCATTATATATTTCATTAAAATCTGTTTATAAGTTATACATGAGAGATTAGCAAATACCCATTCATCCATCCTTTCGCTTTTGTAAATGTTAGTAGGTTGTACATTTGTAAAGATCTGCATCTCTTTATTTCCTTTCTGAATCTTCTACTTTAAACAGTATACCTACAGCAAAAAAAATGCTCTTGTATAGAAGTTGTGTAAGTAAAACATTTTGGTAACGAACGTATTGATAGTTGCATAGATACTGTTACAACTCGGTGCATCCCACGACATGCATTTCAGCAAACCTTGCCTTGTGATGACAACTCCAATTTATTCTGTGTCAAGTGCGAATCAAATTGGTAATTGCATTCGGCTGCATAGAGACACGCTACACGCAGCTCTGCACAAAATCTGGATTGAACTAGATTTCTGTCGGTTATTGCGACAATACTGTAACGTAGAGGAATTTCCTACAAATTCTGAAACGCAGTCTTGTCTCTCTGTGGTTTTTTATGACAAACGAGTAGTTGGATCACCAGGCAAACGGCGTTTCCCGTAGACACTCGCAATACCAGAGGAATTAGTGGATCGATTTGGGGATTGGGAATGAGGGAAGGAGGACCATTGGGCCTCCGGTAACTTCACTCAAAAGGCGAAGCACAAGGTTTCACGCCGTTTTTGTGTGAGGCCAAGAGGTTTGGTATATCTCCGGTCGAGAAGGCCCATTCATGCCGAAGCAGATTACGGTGGCTGTTTTAGACAGTCAGTCTATACCGTGTTGCTTTTGCTATGAATAGAAGAAAAAACTGCCTCTCACTAGCCATTCTCGCGCGGTTTCACCCGCTGCTCGGCTCCATTTTATCGTAGCATGATGTTTTATAGCCCATAGCACTCAGGAACATTGTAGCTATCTATCAGTGAAACAATTTTGGCAATCCGACCAGCGGTTCCAAAGATTACCCCCGACATACAAACTTACAAATACCTCTAATTAGTATAGATATAGATGAAGAACCAGTGTGCGGCTTGGAGAAGGTAAAGGAATGGGGTCGTTTTTAGACAGTAAGAGACACTCCTTCCTTCCTCATCCTAGCCAAAAGAAGTCATTTGATGATTTTTCTCCCTTAAAAAAACCTTAGATATTAGTAGCACCTTAGTATCTGTACCAATTTTGGTCTGCTACCGAAATTACCACGAAACTATTTCGCATACTTACAGAAATATTACGGCAAAACATTAATCATTAACCCGGTGGATGTATTTACACTTGAATTGTAAAACCGCACGGTTCACGGTTGACTTGTCTGCTAGCCTACGCTATGTAGCTAATCATCGTCGGTAATTACTGCCGACGATGGTATTTCAGCTTTATTTTTGTAGAAAATATGCGTTGGAAAAATTTAACAGTACCCTTGTGTCATTAAGGACATATTGTGTGAAGAATGATATGAAAGAGAGAGGAGTTTGTATTTTGTCATTGGAGGAGAGAGAGAGAGAGAGTTGAAAAGAGAGACCTTTCTCGCCCAGGTTATGGCAAGAGGAAGTGTATATTTTTTATATTTTTTTTTTCTTAATGACTAAACCCCCCCCGTTCCTTCACATGCTCTCGGCCAAGGTTGCGGTACCTACCTCCTTATTGGGCTTACCCCGTATCCCCAACTGAGCATCAGCCCTGTTGGGCTTCCTCTATGGTGGTCTATCGGCTCATTGATGCGCGCGCGAAACGCTACGTACCGTTTGCTCAGGAAGAAATATAGGGCTCATAGCAAAGTAATTATGGTGCTAATAGCCAAGTAATTGAGATAATGTTAGGAAGAAGAAATTGAAAAGGAAAAATGTTTATGTGAAAAGTTAT